CTGCTTGAAATGCAAGTTCACTTGTATTAATATATTATTATATGCTTCCACTAAAGACCTTTTATATTCATTTAGCTTTACTTGTTTTGATGTTATTGGGCGATTTTGTAAAACCCGTCTACAAACTTTTGAAAAATTATTACGCAAATCTTTGAACACTGTGTCAAAATCTGACATTTGGCAACCCCGCGAGGCAAAAGAAAAATTCTATATTTTTATATAATTGTCAAAAATAAATTATGCAAGTTCTTCACTAGACACATGCGGAAAAAAATCGAATAGAAAATGCTATTATAAGCGTAAAGTTTTATAATTTGAAAAATACTTAGGTCTTTTTCCTCAAAGAGTCATCGGGTGCAAGCTGAAAGTTTTCATGCAAAAAGGGATTTTCATGCAGTGGGAATATCAGGAATTTCATGCAGCACACATGCATAGCAAAAGCTTTTAATTTCATTTAAAAATGTTTAATGTTCTTATTAAAAAAATCTATGAAAGTTCAATGAAATTTTTTTTTTGTTGCAAGTAACCTTAGTGGGAATTAATAAAAAAAGTTGTCAAACAGCAAAGGAATTGTACGAAATGATAATATTAATATTTTTGAAAAAAATTTATGAATGAATATTTGGTAGCAAAAGTTTATGCTCAAGTCGCGTGTTGTTATTTTCTAATAAGAAAATATTGTATATGAAAAAATTTTGATCACTTATATTATACGAAAAATTAAAAGAAAATTCACTGAGTCACTCACGTCAACTTATATACTAATATAAAAATGGTTTACGAGAAAAGATATATTATAAAAGTGTTGAATTGCTTAAATCTAAAGGTTATCCAAAACTCGTTTGTATCACTTGTACTATAATAGCAAAAATGTTTGATTTCCTTATGAATTAGGAAAACTTATGGCATTCAAGAAAAATCAATTATTTTGATTCGATTTAATGGTGCCAATTAATCAGAATTAAGCTTAAATATTTACTGTGGTTTGCTACTTATAGTGTCGATATCCAAACAAGTTTTTTTTTTTTTGTCAGGACGCCTTAATATCTAGGTACGAAAAATGCAAGTATACTTAAACGGTTTAAATTTTTGGAAAATCACTTAGTACTAGTACAAGTTTTTAGAAAATTCAATTTTTCCCTTCAGGGTAGTTTAACCCTCCGATGAGTGACAGTGCCGATGACGTTAGATTCGTGAGAAGGTCCTTAGGGACCTACAAAGAGTTGCTCGATGTTTCGACTGTACATGTGCAACTTCTTGGGTATTTATGTTGTCTTTTAATTAAATTAACGTCCTGCATATATATTAGGAATGAAATAATTTTAAGAACAAGTGAAAAAAAAATCAAAACATGAAGACAAGTAACTTGTTATTTCTTCTAAAATTGTACAAGGTCCCTAGGGACCTTGTCACTAATCCCCGTACTATATATGTTGAAATCCCTTCGAAACTTATTTTAAACGATTCAGCTTAATTTATTCTTGGAATACATGTATAAATTCTTTTCAAAAATGCATTGAACAAAAAGATATAGGCACATGAAATACGAAAAGGTCCCTAGGGACCTTCTCACAAATCGAAGGGTTAAGTTGTGTTTGAACATACATATAAATATAGAAAATTTGTTTGTATTTTTTTGTTTAAGGAAATTCGTATTTAGTATATATTTTGATTAATTAATTAAGTATTTAGCAAAAATGTTAAGAAGCAATATCAAACATAAAAACTACTCTTACTCCTTGACTGTACTTGCTAGCTGGTTTTCGGATCCCACGCCGCTGTCTCAAAAAAAATGTTGGTTATATCAATTCGGTGTTGCTTGCTTACTTGAAATTTGATTTCCCCAGCTGCAGTCCCGTATAAATTTTATTTAAAAATTGTTTAAGTTGCTATACTACGGCCTCCCGCGCTGCTGTCTTAAGATGGTGTAATGCTCTAAATTTAGCGTGAGCATGCCGCTATGCGAACAGTCGCGTGGGGTACTGCACTATTTATCAGTGTACCTCTGTTTGGCTGGTGGTATGCCTGAACGCGACCGTCGCATGCCCAATTCCAGTCAAAATACTGTACTGCAAACTGTAATATGTACATATGTAACGGGCTTGCTGTATGCGCGCGTGTGTGGAATGACGTGGTTTCGCTTATATGCCGCAATGCATATGGAATTGGTGGTGGTGTGTGGGTATGCCGTTATGAAATTGGTGTACTTGTGCCGTTAAGTATTTGTGGCGTACCTATGCCGTTAGGTATTTGTGGCGTACCTATGCCGTTATGCGAGTTGTGGCGTACCTATGCCGTTATGCGATTTGCAGTTAGGTACAGTTTGCAGCTACTTCTACGGCTGCGGTTCAAATTTTTATGTACGACACTTACCCACACAACCACAGCAAATTTTTTTGATGAACATTTAAATATGGTTTTTCATTTTTTGCCGTAATTTTCGCCCCTGCCAGGCTTTGCGTCACGGTCGCCATGTCGCGCAAACCACCTCAATACGGCAAACCACCTACCCCCATTTACTATTAAGGCTTACCAATCTCGACCTGTGTGGCGCCTGAAGTGTCGGGCTGCTCCGGCTTGAGTTGGGGCTCCGCTGAGGCTCAATACGGCCGTATCCCAAAGGGAAGATTGTGGTAGCAGTATGGGCACTTCTACTGCTTGCTGGGTAGCACGCCTGCTATGTGGAGTTCGTCTCCTAGTTTTTCACTAATGTTCTTTAAGAGATATTTATTGTTACAACTTTAATATTTTCCGTACACTCGCGGTAACTACATCCGTTTAAAAAATCATACA